TACTAAACACTCCTATCAAACAGCTTAACATAACTACACGCTCCTATCAAGCCTAAAGATATACAACATGCTCCTATCAAGCAGAAATATATACCACACGCTACTATCAAGCAAACATATGTTCTACACGCTCCTATCAAACAGCCACATTCGAGATGAGGGGGCACTAGTTAAATCCTCTTCAAGGTCCCATTTTAACATCCAATCTCGATGTTTGCTGACAGCTGACTACACAGACATATAGTGTTTTAAAAAACATCAGTTTTTAAATATTGATAATTCGTAAAATGTTGTACCATTGTTATACCCCCTAATGTGGTTATGGTTAGAGTTACCAAGTAATGCTTAACATATACATGTGTAATGCGTCAATTGTGGAACGTACAGTTTTCCCTTATTGTAGTACCTCCAACTTCCCGACAAAGCATTTCGTAAAACTGGTTTGCCCCGATATAAGATACAATAACACCATACTTAGCGCCTTCTCTGTTATTATAATAAGGATATAATATAGCTTTAACAACCAATGCATTCAGCATACACATGTTTACATGTATATACGTAATATTATTTGAATGCATTAAGGCACGTTGATGCATTTGAATACTATGAAGTAAATAGTGTATGCTGATTAAGAATATACGATAAATGACTTATCAAAAAAAAAAGAAATGCAAAAACTAAATTGAAATTACCACTAGCAACTTTGAGTGTGTAGTTCTGGCTGTCTCCTTCTGCAGGTGGATTTGTTCTGTTACACGTACAAAACCGAACAGACCCATGGCATTTCGCCTGTGGATGTATTACCTATTGAACTATTTTACCTGGTGAAGCTAGCTGTCATCGCAGGAGCAGATATCCGGGGTACAGAAACCTCTTGGGGTAGTTTGCAAACTGTAACATCTTTGACGAATAACCTGTACGATACCCTCGTCCATAAAGCTTATCTCGGCGGTATAACCGAATATGTGTAGCCTCCTGTACTCGTGTCCAGCAGCTACAATAGTTTCTAATTATATATCGTGCATGCATGCAAGTATAACCAACTTAAATATATATCGACACGTCTGAATGTGGTTTTTATCAACTATGCTTATGCAGAAATCAAGCGAAGGAATTACTTACTGTTTACATTGCACGAGTAACATTATTGTATTTTACATTATGGAACCTACTTGTATATTAGAGATTTAGTCGTTTTGTCAAAATCGTCCACTTTGCATGTTAATGTGTCTTGATTAAATATGTATCATATCACCCTACATTGGTAAACTTGTTATGTGGTATATTAAGCATTCGTTGTTTACTTATCTGATAATATAAGCAAATATGAAGCTGTCAGAAACCACAAAATGTCCATAGTTGTAAACATGCATAATAGTGCACAGAGCTGTTCCTAGTTTTTAGCATAATATATGTATCCCGTTAATTACTAATATTCACTCTGACGTAAACCGGAATAACAGCTATAGAAACATCTCTAAACTTAGCTCGTGTGTTGTTGATCTTAAAATATAAGCACTGTATTGATAAAGTTATGATCTGCCATTTAAGTCTCAATCAACATGTTGTAATTATCAATATCTTAACACTACAATCGTAACATTAACAATAATGTTAATTCTAATTTTTGAATTACTATATATTTATATCGCGGTATTCTTCTTCATATCTGAAGGCAAAAAAATCAATGTTGATGATGTCCCTAACAGAAATCAAAGAGAATATAATAACCACAGCATCACATTCACCATTATTTTAATATATTGGGTAGTTTTAAGTGAAGTTGTGTACGTTTATTTGATGAGAAATTTGGAATTTCATAGAGCCTCAACGTCTCTTTAAACGTTCTACCAAACAGCATCCATAGGGATCTTAACATATTTTCAATACATTTCTCTTTTATGTAGTAGGATCTTTTTTGACATGCATTGCGTTAGTTAACCATTTTACCCCCCCCCCCCTTTTCCTCGGACCTTTCCACTCACAGGGTCAACTTTGAGACTTCAGCTTCCCTGACATCTCACCCTAGGGTTGAGACGGGGGGATTTCACTATTCATAAAAATGAGGTATGAGGTCACGTCAACAATCCATCAATGTCACGTCAACCCTGAGTTAAGCCTGTAACATTACATTTCATTATGTATATGATACACAATGGGTGAACAGGGTAAGGACAAAATATCATTCACCCCCTTGAGGGTGAGGTAGGGGAATCTCGGCAAAGCCTCGTGTTTAGTAACTTAAGAATCTTCCCCCTCAGGTTGAGAATCCCCTATCTCATCCCAAGGGGTTGAGATATTGTATTATCCGTACAGCATGAGAACAGTGTATGTTACTGTGGTTTGTTAGTCACACACACCAAAATAGCATCCCCTCTACTAGGAGATTCGTCGTCAGGAAGAGATTTTTTCTATCTTATCACAATTCTCGAGGATATTTTCTGAGCACGGATTTCCTTCGCGAAGTGTTGTTTCTGAATTCGTACAATATATAAACATAAGCTTATGCCGGGGAAAAACTAAATTGTATTTAAGTAAACCAAATAGGTTTAGAAAAAAAGTGACTGTGTTTATATTACGCTGACATGTATAAATATCAGATTACTTCTAGTATGGTAGATTTATAAATGAAGATCTAGAAGCCACATTATATTGCCCTACTGCGTACAAATTCCCAATCAGGTTTGTATATAGTCAATCACAATACACAAAAGCACATTATACTGGTTGTTTTGCCAATCATATGCAGTACTCTCCTTCTATAGGATGGTATGACATAATTTGAATTATCATCTCGCCTGTTACTTCATGCCTGCGATTTTTACACATGTATAATCATCTCCAGTGCCGATGTTAATAACACGATCAAGGCACGATGAACATTGAAATTTTGCAAATAAAAAAAAAGAAGACCAGATGTTTCGGAAGGTTAAGCTTTTCTGCTTCAGCGATGGCACCCACGATTTAAATTGAGCTCACTTCTAGCAATGCTGTGTTCTAAAAAGCAAAGTGGATACATTGCAACCAAATGACATACTAATAAACGAAATCCAAAAGGTCGATATAACGTTGATTTAATATCTTTCCTCCGTGTGAATCTTACCTCCATTAATAGTTTGCCCAAGTGTTGTGGAGATTGGATTAAAATTGCCGTTTTGTTCACAATATCGTATTCGTTTTGGTATATTTTAGAGAACAGAGTCGGATCAAACAACAGTAACAAATTGTGACTCCTGCCTCTAACTGATTGACACCTAAATCTCAAAAACAGTCGAAACATTTTTTTTAAATAACACTGAATTTTGTAACCGCTCTTACAAAATTTAAACACTCTAATATAATTCTTCTTCACATTTTAAATCTTGCAATTTTGAAAGAGATAATTCGTTTGGTTGTATTGTGTGTAACGTCCTTTTAACAGCTTAGGTCATTAAGGGGCTTGTTTCCATGTGTGTGATATGTACGTGCATGTTGTTTATTCTAATATAATATTCGAAATGATATTCATCAGTTTGGTATGAAAACTAAATGCTAAGTTTGTTTTGAACACTAACAGTACTTGAAAACGTATTTTGCAAGCTTTCGAACACCCCTTTTTCCTTAGTCAAGCAAAGAGTGCAAATGACCGGTGCTATCTCAGTGAAATACCATTCCGAAGGTTCATATTCATATTCATATTCGACCTGGTCACATTATGCTGCTGATGGTCAGGTCATAATGTCAAATATCCTTATTTAGACGTCAGATTTAAGACATCTCTTCACAATCGTGTACCATTTTTGACGTAATAAAAGCGCTCCGTGTGGGTAAATGACGAGTGAGACACCCTATTTTGACACATTTCCCCTCAAATTCTATACCCCCTGTTTGGACTTCACACACCGCGGTGGAGACATGAACGTTTCTTTATCCCACTTCCGTGTTGAATTCCCATTAATAAAGCGCTATACCGTTCTGAAATTTCGCATTGTTCACGGTATCAGCAGGTAATTTAAATTTTCATTATCACTAATAAAATCATGTACGGTGTGTCATGTAAAGCAGTGATTCATACAAATTTAACAGAACGTACATATTTGAAATACAAAAATATTTTTGATTTATATCTGTTTTGAATACAACAAATGAAATAACGCTGAATTTTTATATCATCATAACACTTTGTAATGTGGTCTGTGTGTTATCAACAAACCCGAAGTAACCCGAACCCACAGTGTTAAGTGTATCTTGCCGCTTATTCCATGTATTCCTGCCCGTATTACTTGTATACGCGTGTGACACTGGAGATATGATATCTGTACAAACAATGATAAAAGATGGCCGACAGGACATGAAACTTACGACGTGATTCTCCATGTCAGTCTTATAAATACTGTTTGGATGCTTTAAATCGACGGATATCGGCTGCAGGTTGGTGTTTGAACTATAACTGTGACAAAACAAAAGAACGTAGAACTGCCAATGTTTGTCCTACTGGTATGAGTTTTTATACCTGGATAGAATCCTTTCCGTCCGATCAACTATTATTGGCAATTTTAACAACGGTACGAATACATGACCAGACCTCACTAATCTCCCTTGAATAACCCGATATTATGGAAAGGTGCTCAAAACAAAACAATGAACAAAAAATGCGCACGAAGCACAATTCATATATCCAGGATGTGTACTGCTTTACGCATGCGTTATTACCATATGCAACGTGCGCGTGGATATATCATGGACAATGTCAATGCTTTCCATTAGACGATTGCTCTGATAAAATCACCGAAAAGATTCGACAGCTTAAGTCTCGCTTTGACCAACTTTCCAATCGTGTAAAACAAATCAAAGAAAAAGGAAAACAAAACAAAGACATCATCGAACAAAGTAAGTCAAGGTCACAAGCGTCGTTACGGGAAGTACAGGACGTTCTTCAACAGTTTTGGAGCAAAGCCAAACTAAATGTGCAACATCTTGTGCAGTCGATTCACCAAAAAGATAATGACGTCATCAACATGCTGAAATCCGTTTCTGTGATAGAGGATGATCTTTTGCAGTTGACTCGAGATCTCGGAAATGCCAATAAGACTGGAGTTAAACTACACACTTTGGAGATGCTACAGGAAATAGAGAGACGGGCGCATGAGCACGACGAATGTTTGAATAACTTGGCCACCATTATGAAGGGTACGACTCCATTCAATTTGGAAAAAAATGCAGATATTTTACAATTTTGTGCCAACTTTCGTGCTGTGGGTAACCTGAAATTTGAAACATCTGACAATGAATCTTTTCAATTCGCAAATTTGTCATGTTTAGAGCCTTCTTTACAGAACGTTACCACACAGTCTGCTAACACTAGAACAGACTTTGCTGTTCGTTCATTCTGCTGGCAACACATCACATGTTGCTCTGCTGTCCGTGTGTCCTACATCAGATGGTGCCATGCGACCTGCTGGTCCTACATCAGATAGTGCAATGCGACCTGCTGGTCTTACATCAGATGGTGCCATGCGATCTGCTGGTCCTACATCAGATGGTGCCATGCGATCTGCTGGTCCTACATCAGATGGTGCCATGCGACCTGCTGGTCCTACATCAGATGGTGCCATGCGACCTGCTGGTCCTACATCAGATGGTGCCATGCGATCTGCTGGTCCTACATCAGATGGTGCCATGCGATCTGCTGGTCCTACATCAGATGGTGCCATGCGACCTGCTGGTCCTACATCAGATGGTGCCATGCGACCTGCTGGTCCTACATCAGATGGTGCTCTGCTGTCCGCTGGTCCTACATCAGATGGTGCCATGCGACCTGCTGGTCCTACATCAGATGGTGCCATGCGATCTGCTGGTCCTACATCAGATGGTGCCATGCGACCTGCTGGTCTTACATCAGATGGTGCCATGCGACCTGCTGGTCCTATATCAGATGGTGCCATGCGATCTGCTGGTCCTACATCAGATGGTGCCATGCGATCTGCTGATCCTACATCAGATGTTCCAATTCGGTCTGGTGATTATACATCGGAAGCTGATGAAAATTACGTGATTGTATCTCGGACACGTCAACCACTGGCTTCGGTGTCGTCATTAGTGTTGTTGGAAAGCTTCTCTCATCGAGTAATTTATGTAGGTGAGACTGTTCGGGGAATATTCACACTG